AAACCATTAGGTGGAAAAGATTACTAAATTAATTAATATATTTTTATTTATCAATAATTTAATATTTGTACCATAAAAGTTAGAAACAGTAAAATTAGTCAGGGAAATCAGAGAAAATTCAAAGACTTTTATCAAAATTACGTAAAAAATTTCATATTTCTGAAAATGGAAACAAAATTCTTATTTTTGGCTTATAGCGAACTTTATAAATCTTGAAAAAAATAATGTTTGAGAATTTGAATTTACGTATGTTTTTTAATTCTGAAAAAAAAATATTTTTGAAAAATTGCAATTCAAATTTTTCTGAAGGTGGTTGAATTTTTGAAAATATTAATTTAAAAAATATTTAACAATTAAAATTTCGTAAAATTGCATTAAAAATAATAATGAATGGTTTTAAAGAATTTTATGACAATTTTTGAAAAATTTTAATTTAAATATTGATACATAAGTTAATTTTGAGAAGAGCAACTTTAGGTTAAACTTCCTCATTAACGAAATATAAATTGCATATAAAAATAATTAAATTTTCGAAGAATTACCATAAAAACTTTTGACATTTTTTAAATTTGAAAAATTTAAATTTATTAAATTTGTAATACAAATTCATACAATAAATTTTTTTTTACAATCATCCATTTTTATCACATCATTAATTTTTCAAAATCATTTAAAAAATAATAAAACCGGCTTGAATGAAGTGACTATCAACTCATTTCAAGTGATTAAGAACTATGTTCAGTTTTCTTTTTCCCAATGTTTATTATTTTCAATTATGACGTTTACCATCTCCTCCTTATTTCTTGATATTAATGAAAAGTTCATGTGACTTGAAAAACATATAAAAAACAAATTTTCGTTCGATACTAAGAAAAAAATATTGTTTCCAAACTTCAATCGGCTTTCAGGGCGATTTCTTGTTAAATTACAAAAGCAGGTTAATTTATTATTATCATTATTATTATTCTTGTTACCACATTATTCAAAAAAAATATTTTCACGGATTGGTTTACAATTTTGTATGCTTATTGCAGTCATAAATATATTAAATTAGATAAGGATTTCTGAAAATACGTCAATTTTATAAATTTTTTTTTTAAAAAACATTTTTTGAAAAAAAATTTCATGAAGCTGTTATTTTAATTATGTTTCTTTGAATATTTCAACCTTCGGTTGCATACAGATATAAGGTAATATATTTTAAATTATTCAATTTAGGGAAAAAGTAATATTGTCTTTTAACGGTTTGAGACCAAGAATGTTAAAGGCAAAAATGGAGAAATATGAACAAGTTAAGACAAGCACGCAATTTTTCAAATTACTGAAGAAAGGACAAAACCATTATAAATCAGTGGCACCAGGGGTGGAAATTCTTAAAATTAATCCGATTAAAAATGATATCAACATTTTATACATCGATGATTCCTTTCAGGTTATTTTAACATTTGATTATTTATAAAGAGATATTGGCTTTATTACAGGATATTAAATTTATTTTACATTTCAAATTTTATTATTATGCTTAGGTTAAATTTACAAAAATGGTGTAGTATTACACTCAAAGAAAAATATATATTTATCTAATAACCTAAAAAGTATTTATTCCTTTGAAATAAATTATATTTACTTAAGATAAAATACATTCGTAGTAAATTACATTTTTTATTTGGCATAAATAAAAAATTATTATGATGAGTCAAATCTTTATGTTTCTAAAGTATCATATTAATAGTTAAGAATTTCTAAAATTATTTAATAAATATTTTGCAGTTGAGTTTTGAGAAGTTTGAAGCAAGTTTTATTAATTTTATTGTTGAAGATGGAGGAAAGGTATGCATTTTTAACGTTTAACCAGTTACAATATTTACATTATTGATACTACATTTTCTTTGAAAATAATGTACACGGAAAAAATATGCGTGTGAAACATATTACATATTCAATACATTATTAATTTAATATATTACTTTTTTAATGAAAATGTATTTTTTATTTTTAAGGCATTTATAACATTTTGTGCAGTTATAACCGTCTCAGTAACTATGGCTGTCAGAAATCAAATATTAAATGAAATCGTATCAGTCCCATGCATAAGAAATGTAAAATTAATTATTGGATCTTTTGATTCTGATTTAAAAATCAGTTGCCAACAAGTTTTTCGAAATGCAGAATACGAATGCAGCTGGTATCACTTTCGACAGGTACCCAATAAAAAATTTACTTTTGGCGCAGTACTGGCACCCAGTATTGGCGCCAGAGTTGGCGTAACTTTGGGATGATAATATTTTACCAGTATTGGCTACCAGAGTTGGCACTAGTACTCGTAACCACTACTGGTTCAGTATTAAATTTTTGTATTATTGTATTAAAATCAGTACTGTTATATTACTGACAAGTAATACTGGGCCAGTACTGGCAGTTTTTTAATTTATTGTATACGAAAAGAAAGTTTTAACTGTAACAGAGATAAGTTTCACTGCAATAGTGAAATCTCTGCTCCGGATAATACTTTTTTAGTATACTTAGGAAAAAGTGTCATAAATTTTTAGTAACCCAACACAAATTAAATATTAATTAAATTAATCAACTAACAAATTAATATTTTATTATAAAAAAGTCGAAAATACCAAGAATTTTATAAATAAATATACAATAATAAAAAATAATCAATAAAATATAATAAATAAATTAATTAACATTAAATTCAATTCAATTTACATAAAACAAAACATAAATATTTTTTTTTATTTTTTTAAGAAAAAAAAGTATACGTAATTTTTTGTAGGTTTATAAATTTCAGTTTTTTTCTAAAGTATAATATCTATTTTTAATCACATATATTTGCATCAAAATGAATTTTTGAAAAACTTTTTTAAGAAAATAAAAGTTGTTTTTTTTATTTTTAACAAGTGTTGCCAAGAAAATTTTTTAAAATTTTTATTTTAAAAAATATTAATTTTTATGAACAAATTTATTTATTTTTAGTTTGATCGTTTAAAATTTTTTTTTGGTTTATTGCATATCTGAAAACAATAAGACAATCTTACAAAATGTTTTGGAATTGGTCTCAGGAAACTTTTTGTTTAAATAATTTTACCCACAGAAAAACAAAATGAAATATACTTTTTAATTTTGAAAAATAAAATCAAGGTGAACAAATTTTTATAAACAAAATATTTAAACAAAAAGATTTATCAGGTTCACTCTACAACTTTATGTAAACTAGTATTAATCAAAAAGAAAATCTATTTGAGCCAGTACTGGCTCAATATCGGCTCAGTACTAGTTTGCCAGTACTGGGAGGTTTGTACTGCAACAGTACTGCTACAATTAAAATATCAGTACTGGTTCAGTACAGACTGCTTAGCATCGGCAGCCAATACTGAACCAGTTCTCCACCAGTAGTGAACTCTGGTATAATTCTGAAATTTTTGGTTGGGTATATGCCGTTTTAATGAGTCTACAATTTGATTATTTGTAAACATTATAAAATAATTCTAATTTAACAGAAACAATATTTTATTTAGGTCATGAAAGAGATTTGGCTCAGAAATAATTTATCAAAAGATACGACAGAAATTTTATGTGCCGCGTATGTTATTTCCTTAGTGCCTGTTCAATTTATTTTGGATGCTCATTCAGAGTTTGCACTCCTTGCTGCAAAAAATGAGGAATGTAAAAATTTTGCTCACGAGGTGATGCAAATAATTTCAAAAATGGGATCAAAAATTAGCATCGTTGATAAAACTTTACCAACTTATAACAATGTCTTTCAAATTTCGGAAAAACAATTTGATTTAGTCAAAAAGAGCAAATCACCTGGACAATTAGTTGGTATTTATAAATAATTAGAATATTTATCAAAATCTTATATATATATATTTAATGTAAATTTAATTCCCTTTGATTTCATTTTATTTCAAAATAAATTCCACTTCCCAATCAAAAATTTATAACCGTATAAGTGCTGCGCCTGTACTGGCAGAGTACTGGTCGCCAATATAGAACCAATACTTGGATATATTTGGAATAATAACGGTCGCCGTTACTAGTTGTTAGTAATGGCATCAGTCGGGTACTTTGCATTTTTTTAAAAAACCTGGTTTAAATTGATCAAAAATTTTTTTCATGCAATCGACATTATTTTCTCATTCTTTAATGTTCAAGGAAGAATTTTCAACGAGATTTGAACTAATTTATTTGATAGATTCTTTGTAAACCGATAATTCCAAAGAGGTACCCGGTTTCGCCCCACTCTCCCCTACTTCCATTAAATGGTAATTGTTCGAATTGCCGTAATTATTGCTTAAAGTACAGTTTATTTGTTTCAAATATATTTTTTTCAGTGTAAGCAAAATAGTTTAAAAACTTAATAAATTATGTATTTTTTTTAAAAAAGAGTTTTTATAATATTGGTTTGCCATTACAGTATTTACAATACCGGCACAGTATTGACTTGCAGTATTGGCACAGTATAAAATTTAATCCATGTCATTATTGAAATGATACTGTCAATATTGGCATTTGACATAAATTTTTGCTTGGGTTTAAATACATTTTAGTTCATTTTGAATTATTATTGTAAATGAATTTAAAGCAAAATCAAAGAATGTTTGAAATGACAGGATTGCTATCTTGGCCCAATATTAGCGCAGTAATGTCTGCCAAAAAAATGCAAAAGTAATTGATCCAGCACTAACGTACATGTACCTCGTTCCAATATAGTGCCAATATTGGCATTGATTCTCAGTTATTCGAATTTTACAACAATTAAAACAAACTTTTTCATTGTAGAACTTGATATTATGTTCATAATGATTACAGAAAATCTTGATGATTTACTAACAGAGCGACAAAAAACTAAGACCAAATCTGAATTTTGCAAAATTATGGAAGATACGATTCATAAATTGCAAAATGTCCCTAGGTAGGAATATGTTTACAAATATAATCAATTTCTATATGAAAGTTAGTTTCAATAACGTAGTTAATAATTTAGGTTGACAGCCAAAGCAGCATTTAAAATAATGCATGATAAAGTAAACAAAATTTTCAAACCCACAAAACGTAAGTTTTTTTCAATTTATCTTAAAAACTATTCCAATAACTGAAAATAAGTAACATAATTGAGTCAACGGAAAGCATAACCGACGCTGCGTTCCCCCTGAGTCCGAACGCAGCGTCGGTTATGCTTTCCGTGCACTCAATTATAGTTTTTTCACTTTGAAATTAAATAACATTGCTCAAAATTTCTAGTTCCACCGTTGGCAAGACTTAGAAGAATAAATGTAGATTCTCCCGCTGAAATTGAAGAGAGTAACGTCGAAGCAACACCAGAGACGCAAACAAAAGAAATGGAAGACGCAGAAGAGGCGGAAGGTATTACATTCCTACATATCTTTAACACAGTAGGGAAGAATGAATCTTTTAAATCAAAATCACTTTACAGGTCTTACACGATTTAAAAAAAAATTAAGTAATTAAATTCCTTATCACTTCTTACACCTACATTTAAAATTTTTTTTTACTTACATTTATTTTTTTGTAACAAAGTAAGATGAAGTCAATATTTTCATAAAATACAATAAATGCATCAATAATTAACGTAATACTTGTTATATTTTAAGTACATATTTTAAAATATAGAGTGGAAGTATATATATTTCAATAAACTAAAACAAAACATATTCATATAAATTAAAATTATAACCCATTTTTTCCACAATTACTTTTAACAATTTATTTTTAATTATTAAATAACGTTTTGGCAGCTCTCACAACCCTTATCAAATTAATATAACATTATTAATTATAATTTTAAACCAAAAAAATCAGCTAATAAAAAATTATTATTTGTGATATAAAATTAAAAATAAATTGTAAAAATAAAATTGATTAAAAATACATTAGAATTTGAACCCAACAAATTCAGATCAATAGATTAATTAATTAATTAATTTTAATTGTAATTAATTTTACTTGTAGGTATATAAAAATATTAACGTTAATTTTTACTTTTTATTTCAGGTGTCATTGTAGCGGAAATTACTATCCCCTCTGGTAAAATTTAACTCTTACAAATATGACATAATGATCTGGACAGTAAAATATGACCTATCATTGATTGATTTTCATTTTTGTACGATTAAATTTTGAAAATGCAGAAGCATGAATTTAATATTTTCCGAACGTATTTTTTGATCAGTATCGCACTCAAAAATCATTAAGGATTCCTCATAAGTGTCGTAAAAAGTACTATATAAAGTATCCTATACATGATTCTATAATAAAACTTATGGGCACCTTCTATAGGAGAAATAAAATAAGCTGGCTTAAAGGTCACCAATATGATGAATATTATGCAAGATCTTTGCGGGATCCAACATGAAAACTTATATGGGTTATTTATTTTGACAATTCATTATAGGATTCTATACATTATGATCTTATGTAGGATAATTCTTAACCTTCGCTTGACAAGATGCCCACCCAGGGTGGGCCAGACAAATTGAAATTGCCATATCTTCTAAAGTTTTGCCTTAATTGAATCGCGATTTTAAGTCACTGAACAAAATCTTAAGAACTTTCAAAAAATGTAAAAACAAATTTAAAAAAAAAATTTCTTCTTGATTATTTATAACTTTTATCAATGTATGTACGGAGATAACCGGGATGATTCAGATATTTTTTTAATTCTATTTTACAAAAAGACTTCAAATCATGCAGACTTTTCACTGTGAGTGTTTTATGATGTCAAATAATAGATATAAAAAATATTATATTGCATTTTTCATTTGTTTAAACAATTTATTGTTATTATTTATTAACTTTCTTTGTTCTGCACCTAGAAGGATGCAGTTTTTTTCTAATTTTGCAATTTATCAAGCGGAATATAATAAAAGATAGATTTGATGTAAAATTATTAATTCAACAATTGTTTAAACAATTATTGTTATTATTTACTAACTTTCTTTGTTCTGCACCTAGAAAGATGCAGTTTTTTTCTAATTTTGCAATTTATCAAGCCGAATAAATAAAAGATAGATTTGAAGTAAAATTATTAATTCAACAATTGTTTAAACAAATAAATATTGTTAATTACTTACTTTTTTCTGCGGACCTAGAATGATGTAGTTTTTTTCAAATTTTGCAACTCATTAAGCCGAATATAATAAAAGATAGATTTGATGTAAAATTGTAAATTCAACAATTGTTTAAACAATCGTTTGAATACTAAATTCATATAAAATCTTCATGTTTATTATGTTGAGCTTGTTAAGATGCAAAATTAGAAAAAAATTGCAATTTTCTAGGAATATTATGAAGAATGTTAATAAATAGCAACAATTATTTGTTTAAACAATTTATAATAATAGTTGTTGCAAATTGAATTATATATTTTATTTTATTTATAACCTTTGAATTAATAACTACGAAGAAAAGGTAACAAATTTATAAAATTCTTCTACTGTCGTATGTATATTTGAAAAAGTTATAAATTATTAATAATAAATTGTTTAAACATATAAAAAATCAACAAAACATTAATAAAATATATTATTTGGTGACATATAACAATTTTGGAAAAAAACTGAATGATTCTAAGTTTTTATTGCAATATACAAAGAAGAAAACATTTGGCCCACCCTGGGTGGGATCTTGTCAACCGTGTATATAAAAAGTATCCTGTCTGGCGAAGGTTAAAAATAATTTTTGTTAATTACTGTTAATTAATTAATTAAAATATAAGAGTACTAACTCAAACAATTTACTTTATTATTATAAACAATAATAAGTAATAATTATTAATAACAATCTCTCCCATATAGGATCATATGTAGGATTCTATATAGAATTCTATATATTATACATAAATCCTATGTAGAATTCTATAAACGATCCCATACAAAATCTTACAATCCTATGTATTTAATCTTGACGGCAGCTTATTCCATTTTTCAAAAGACACCTGGAATTTTGTAAAGGATCCTGTTTATAGTACCTTCACAGAAAAAAACTGAACTCAAAATGAATAGCATACAACTCAAAATTATTTGCGTACGCTACTCATTTTGAATAATCCTTTTTGCTGCACGTGAAAATGAGTAACTTAAAATTCGTTACTGAAGGGTTTTCGGAATCGTAATCAACGACCTTGAAAGTATAAAAAATGAGTTTCAAGCCGTATATACTGCTATTTTTTAGAAATATTATTTTTGGATGATAAGTCCTTTTTTACTGACCAAGACCAATCACATTACATTTACGTATGTCGTGTATAAAAATTTATTTTTAATTTCGTAATATTTCAGATATAATATCTGATCCAACCGACGTTTTTCTACCAATAGATGCGTTACACCTGAGCCAAATTTCTGTAGACAGTTACATTGATAGTGAGTAATAACAGATCTATTGAATGTAGTTTTCTAAAAAACTTATTTTCGGCTGATAAACCCCTTTTAAATTAACAATGACATATACATTTACTTACATCGAGCATAAAAATTCTTTAGAAATTTATCTTTTCATAATATTTCAGCTATAACAACTGATCCAGAGAACGGCTTTCTATCAGAAGATGCGATAAACGTCAACCAAATTACATTTAATAATGAGATTCGCAGTGAGTAATAAAAAATCAATTATTACTATTATTATATTATAATGCATATTTAATAGTGAATCTCCAGAATCTGTAGTTGTAAACAATGGCCGGTTAATATCAACCCTCACAGCACCGGATATTTAAGGATATCCCTAGAACATCCTGGGGATATCCATTGCCTTGCGGCGGTTTGGATATCCCTCGGACATCCTGAGGATATCCTGGGACATCCCTGGCATATCCCAGGGATATCCAAACCGCCGCAAGGCAATGGATATCCCCAGGATGTCTCAGGGATATCCTTAAATATCCGGTGCTGTGGGGGAACATTGTCGGAATTGACTGACTTGACATTGTCTACATTACCTGGTTCCGGAGATTCACCGTAAACCGTTCACTTATTTCCAATTCTAACTTTAGGAATTATCAACTTTGATAATCTGGAAATGATAATTGATGAAAATACAGGTACATTATAAATATACATTTTTTATTCTAAATTTCAATTTTTAAATTCTCATTGTAAATTTCAGAGAAGGAAACAGATGAAAATGAAGAAAACTCCAATGGAAGCGAGATTAATCAGCAATTGACAAGTCAACAGGTGCTTATAGCTGCAGAAAACTCGGAAAGTAATAATTTTTTTTAAAATCGATCATTTATTTTTGCAAGTGTATACACTTATTTTTATTTCTAAATTTAGGATTAATCAACTTTGACAATCTGGGAATGGTAATCGGCGAAGATACAGGTACATTATAAATATACATTTTTTATTCTAAATTTCAATTTTTAAATTCTCATTGTAAATTTCAGAGAAGGAAACAGATGAAAATGAAGAAAACTCCAATGGAAGCGAGATTAATCAGCAATTGACAAGTCAACAGGTGCTTATAGCTGCAGAAAACTCGGAAAGTAATAATTTTTTTTAAAATCGATCATTTATTTTTGCAAGTGTATACACTTATTTTCATTTCTAAATTTAGGATTAATCAACTTTGACAATCTGAGAATGGTAATCGGCGAAGATACAGGTACATTATAAATATACATTTTTTATTCTAAATTTCAATTTTTAAATTCTCATTGTAAATTTCAGAGAAGGAAACAGATGAAAATGAAGAAAACTCCAATGGAAGCGAGATTAATCAGCAATTGACAAGTCAACAGGAGCTTATAGCTGCAGAAAACTCGGAAAGTAATAATTTTTTTTAAAATCGATCATTTATTTTTGCAAGTGTATACACTTATTTTCATTTCTAAATTTAGGATTAATCAACTTTGACAATCCGCGATCTCCCCTATATCTTCAATAACTGAAAGAACCCCGCACCATTTACATGGGAATTTGGGGTCCGGTGAAATTTTCTGCAACTTTGTAATTTTGTAGTTTTTGACCTCCTGAACAAAAAATGTAAATGGCAAAATTCCAAAAAATGGACAGATTTTTTAAAAATTGAGGTTTAAGTTTAAAAAATAGTGTTAAAAGCGAAAAAAATCAAAAATGAGTAAAACCAAAAGAACTTAATAAACTTTTTTAAAACTCGTTACTCTGGGGTTCTCGGGGTCGCTGATTACGAATTCGATGTTAATTTTTGAAAATCCAAAAAGGCGGATTGAAAATGGCCGACCAATTTTTTTTAAATACATTGAATTCACATGAATCTCGTTATTCGGGGGTTTTGGGGGTCGCTGATTACGAATTCGATAACAGTTTTTGAAAATCCAAAATACCAGATGCAGTATGGCGTTAACATTATAACGTACTGCTTACGTTCTCATTCTGGACTCAGCTTACGAAACGGCACGAGACGTTATAGAAACATTTTATATTGAATCAAGAAGGATAAAGAAAAACATGATGAAAGATAAAAAAAATATTATATACTTAGCTACAAACTATTGTACAAACCGAATTTTTTATCACCGAGGCTTAAAAAGTCGTCTAGTAACAAGTTTTAAATAAATAAAAATAATTTTTAATAATTCTTCCGCCAGTCTGCATCCGGTATTTTGGATTTTGAAAAACTGTCATCGAATTCGTAATCAGCGACCCCGAAAATCCCCGAGTAACGAGATTCAAGTTAATTCGATAAATTTAAAAAAAATGGTCGGCCATTTTGGATCCGCCATTTTGGATTTTCAAAAATTAACATCGAATTCATAATCAGCGATCCCGAGAACCCCAGATTAACGAGTTTTAAGAAAGTTTATTTAGTTCTTTTGGTTTTACTCATTTTTGAATTTTTTTCGCTTTTAACACTATTTTTTAAACTTAAACCTCAACTTTTAAAAAATCTGTCTATTTTTTGGAATTTTGCCATTTACATTTTTTGTTCAGGAAGTCAAAAACTACAAAATTACAAAGTTGCAGAAAATTTCACCGGACCCCAAATTCCCATGTAAATGGTGCAGGGTTCTTTCTACGAATAAAAATTTCAGATAAACAAAAAGAGGCAGATGAAGAAAACTACCAGAAGTCCAATCAGCAAAAGTCTACTGATGTAATGAACTCGAAATGTAAGATTTTTTAATAACTAAGCGCTTACACATTCAAGTGTATATTTTCTTCTAGATTTACAGCTAAAACCGTTTTAGTCTATAAATCCCTACAAATAATTTATTTTTCAGATAAAAACCACAAACATAACAGGAAACCAACATGGAGGTCAACATCCTATAAGTTAAAAAACTTTTATAAAGTTCAGATTCCTCAATGGCAACTAAACCCTAACCAACCCCGATGGCAACCAAGCCCTAACCATCCCCGATGGCAACCATACACTCAACATCCCAGATGGCAACCATATCCTCAACAACTCAGATGGCAACCCTATCCTCACCATTCCCAAGGAAATCTGCACACTCATTATCGTCGAGCAAGAAAATGAAAAGCATAATAAAAAAAAATTGTTATTATTAACATAATTAATATTTTGATATTTTAAATTGTCATTTAACAAAATTACATTCTTAACATAGAATAATAATAAATTATCATTTTAAAAAATTCTTTATTAAAAATTTAACGTTATTATAAAAAACCTTTCTAATTCCATGAATTAATTAAACACTACAGTCCACATTTAAAGCCATCCTACCAAAACGCGTGCAATTATTATTAAACAATACTTTCCACCACTGAAATACCACTAACCCAACCAGTGCTATTATTAAAAAAATATGAAACTATTTTCAATACATTAACCACTACTTTTAACCATAAAATCCTCGCACCGAAACGAGTGTTATTAATAAATAAATATAACAATTTCTTTAATTTATTAGACACAATTTTTTACATCTGAAATACTCGTATCTGAATGAGTGTGTTTAAAATTTATTAAATATTTTTAATTTCATAAGCACTCTTTTTTAAAAATAAAATCCTCGTATCGGAACGAGTGTAAATATTTATAATTGCCAAATATTTTTAATTTAATGGGAATTCTTTTTACACATTGAAATCCTCGTATCGAAACGAGTGTAAATATAAAATTGAAAAATATTTTAAATTCATATGCACTCTTTTTAAAAAGAAATCCTCGTATCGGAACGAGTGTAAATATTTAGTATTAAAAAACATTATTATTTTCATAGGCACTCTTTTTTAAAAATGAAATCCTCGTATCGGAACGAGTGTAAATATTTATAATTGACAAATATTTTTAATTTAATGGGCATTCTGTTTACACATTGAAATCCTCGTATCGAAACGAGTGTAAATATAAAATTGAAAAATATTTTAAATTCATATGCACTCTTTTTGAAAAGAAATCCTCGTATCGGAACGAGTGTAAATATTTAGTATTAAAAAACATTTTTATTTTCATAGGCACCCTTTTTTAAAAATGAAATCCTAGTATCGGAAAGTGTGTAAATATTTATAATTGACAATATTTTTAATTTAATAGGCATACTTTTTACATATTGAAATCCTCGTATCGGAACGAGTGTAAATATTTATAATGACAAATATTTTTAATTTATTGGGCATTCTTTTTACATATTGAAATCCTCGTATCGAAACGAGTGTAAATATAAAATTGAAAAATATTTGAAATTTAATGGGCATTCTTTTTACACATTGAAATCGTCGTATCGGAACGAGAGTAAATATTTAGTATTGAAAAACATTTTTATTTTCGTAGGCACTCTTTTTTAAAAACGAAACCCTCGTATCGGAACGAGTGTAAATATTTATAATTACAAATATTTTTAATTTATTGGGCATTCTTTTTACATATTGAAATCCTCGTATCGAAACGAGTGTAAATAAAAAATTAAAAAATATTTTAAATTAATATGCACTCTTTTAGAAAAGAAATTCTCGTATCAGAACGAGGGTAAATATTTAGTTTTAAAAAACATTTTTATTTTCATAGGCACTCTTTTTTAAAAATGAAATCCTCGTATCGGAACGAGTGTAAATATTTAGTATTAAAAAACATTATTATTTTCATAGGCACTCTTTTTTAAAAATGAAATCCTCGTATCGAAACGAGTGTAAATATAAAATTGAAAAATTTTTTAATTCATATGCACTCTTTTTTAAAAATGAAATCCTCGTATAGGAACCAGGGTAAATAGTTACTATTAAAAAACATTTTTATTTTCATAGGCACTTTTTTTTAAAAATGAAATCCTCGTATCGAAACGAGTGTAAATATAAAATTGAAAAATATTTGAAATTTAATGGGCATTCTTTTTACACATTGAAATCTTCGTATCGGAACGAGAGTAAATATTTAGTATTAAAAAACATTTTTAATTTCATAGGCACTCTTTTTTAAAAATGAAATCCTCGTATCGGAACGAGTGTAAATATTTATAATGACAAATATTTTTAATTTATTGGGCATTCTTTTTACATATTGAAATCCTCGTATCGAAACGAGTGTAAATATAAAATTGAAAAATTTTTTAAATTCATATGCACTCTTTTTGAAAAGAAATCCTCGTATCGGAAGAAAGGTAGTTATTTAGTATTGAAAAACATTTTTATTTTCATAGGCACTCCTTTTTAAAAATGAAATCTTCGTATCGGAACGAGTGTAAATATTTATAATTGACAAATATTTTTAATTTAATGGGCATTCTTTTTACATATTGAAATCCTCGTATCGGAACGAGTGTAAATATAAAATAGAAAAATATTTTAAATTAATATGCACTCTTTTAGAAAAGAAATTCTCGTATCGGAACGAGGGTAAATATTTAGTATTGAAAAACATTTTTATTTTCATAGGCACTCTTTTTTAAAAATGAAATCCTCGTATCGAAACGAGTGTAAATATAAAATTGAAAAATATTTGAAATTTAATGGGCATTCTTTTTACACATTGAAATCGTCGTATCGGAACGAGAGTAAATATTTAGTATTAAAAAACATTTTTAATTTCATAGGCACTCTTTTTTAAAAATGAAATCCTCGTATCGGAACGAGTGTAAATATTTATAATTACAAATATTTTTAATTTATTGGGCATTCTTTTTACATATTGAAATCCTCGTATCGAAACGAGTGTAAATATAAAATAGAAAAATATTTTAAATTAATATGCACTCTTTTAGAAAAGAAATTCTCGTATCGGAACGAGGGTAAATATTTAGTATTGAAAAACATTTTTATTTTCATAGGCACTCCTTTTTAAAAATGAAATCTTCGTATCGGAACGAGTGTAAATATTTATAATTGACAAATATTTTTAATTTAATGGGCATTCTTTTTACATATTGAAATCCTCGTATCGGAACGAGTGTAAATATAAAATAGAAAAATATTTTAAATTAATATGCACTCTTTTAGAAAAGAAATTCTCGTATCGGAACGAGGGTAAATATTTAGTATTGAAAAACATTTTTATTTTCATAGGCACTCTTTTTTAAAAATGAAATCCTCGTATCGGAACGAGTGTAAATATTTATAATTACAAATATTTTTAATTTATTGGGCATTCTTTTTAAAATATTGAAATCCTCGTATCGAAACGAGTGTAAATATAAAATTGAAAAATTTTTTAAATTCATATGAACTCTTTTTGAAAAGAAATCCTCGTATCGGAAGAAAGGTAATTATTTAGTATTGAAAAACATTTTTTTTTTCATAGGCACTCTTTTTTAAAAATGAAATCCTCGTATCGGAACGAGTGTAAACATTTATAATTGACAAATATTTTTTATTTAATGGGCATTCTTTTTACACATTGAAATCCTCGTATCGAAACGAGTGTAAATATAAAATTGAAAAATATTTTAAATTAATATGCACTCTTTTTGAAAAGAAATCCTCGTATCGGAACGAGTATAAATATTTATAATTACAAATATTTTTAATTTATTGGGCATTCTTTTTACATATTGAAATCCTCGTATCGAAACGAGTGTAAATATAAAATAGAAAAATATTTTAAATTAATATGCACTCTTTTAGAAAAGAAATTCTCGTATCGGAACGAGGGTAAATATTTAGTATTGAAAAACATTTTTATTTTCATAGGCACTCTTTTTTAAAAATGAAATCCTCGTATCGGAACGAGTGTAAATATTTATAATGACAAATATTTTTTATTTATTGGGCATTCTTTTTACATATTGAAATCCTCGTATCGAAACGAGTGTAAATATAAAATTGAAAAATTTTTTAAATTCATATGCACTCTTTTAGAAAAGAAATCCTCGTATCGGAAGAAAGGTAATTATTTAGTATTGAAAAACATTTTTATTTTCGTAGGCACTCTTTTTTAAAAATGAAATCCTCGTATCGGAACGAGTGTAAATATTTATAATTACAAATATTTTTAATTTATTGGGCATTCTTTTTACATATTGAAATCCTCGTATCGAAACGAGTGTAAATATAAAATAGAAAAATATTTTAAATTAATATGCACTCTTTTAGAAAAGAAATTCTCGCATCGGAACGAGGGTAAATATTTAGTATTGAAAAACATTTTTATTTTTATAGGCACTCTTTTTTAAAAATGAAATAATCGTATCGGAACGAGTGTAAATGTTTATAATTGACAAATATTTTTTATTTAATGGGCATTCTTTTTACACATTGAAATCCTCGTATCGAAACGAGTGTAAATATAAAATTCAAAAATATTTTAAATTAATATGCACTCTTTTTGAAAAGAAATCCTCGTATCGGAACGAGTATAAATATTTATAATTACAAAAATTTTTAATTTATTGGGCATTCTTTTTACATATTGAAATCCTCGTATCGAAACGAGTGTAAATATAAAATAGAAAAATATTTTAAATTAATATGCACTCTTTTAGAAAAGAAATTCTCGTATCGGAACGAGGGTAAATATTTAGTATTGAAAAACATTTTTATTTTCATAGGCACTCTTTTTTAAAAATGAAATCCTCGTATCGGAACGAGTGTAAATATTTATAATTGACAAATATTTTTTATTTAATGGGCATTCTTTTTACACATTGAAATCCTCGTATCGAAACGAGTGTAAATATAAAATTGAAAAATATTTTAAATTAATATGCACTCTTTTTGAAAAAAATCCTCGTATCGGAATAAGTGTCAGGATTAAAAATTCTAATTAAAATTAAAACAAAATTAAATTTCATGAGCAATATTTTTTATACATCGAAATCCTCGTATCGGATCGAGTGTAAATAAAAAATTGAAAAATGTCTTTAATTTCATAGGCACTCTTTTTTAAAAATGAAATCCTCGTATCGGAACGAGTGTAAATATTTAGTATTAAAAAACTTTATTTTTTTCATAGGCACTCTTTTTTGAAAATGAAATCCTCGTATCGGAACGAGTGTAAATATTTAGTATTAAAAACCATTATTATTTTCATAGGCACTCTTTTTTAAAAATGAAATCCTCGTATCGAAACGAGTGTAAATATAA